AACTTTAACACAGTAATAATATTTTTACCATCTTTCAAACTTTCACAAATTTGAATTTGGAGATCATGTGTTTTTGCAAGTAACACCAACGACAAGAGTTGAGAGGGCTATCAAGTCAAGAAAGTTGTCACTAAAGTTTCTAGGACCATATCAAGTGCTTAGGAGGATTGGTCCAATAGCCTATGAGATAACACTACCACCTTAGTTTGGGAACTTGCATAATGTCTTCCATGTATCTCAGTTGAGGAAGTATGTTAGAGATCCTTTTCATGTATTGGAGGTTGATGACATTCAAGTTAAGAAGGACTTAACCTTGGATGCTGGACTAGTACAATTGTTGGACATGCAAGCCTAGATGTTGCGAGAAAAGGATATTCGCACTGTGATGGTGCTTTGGAATGAAACTACACAAGAGATGACTTATGAGTTAGAAGAGTTTATGAAGAAAGAGTATCCCTATCTTTTTGCTGAGTAGATCAATTTTCAAATTTTGATATCAGTCCATGATGTTGTCACCAACTTTCCATTGGCGAGTATCAAATGTAGTTGAAGCATACATATCTAGATATTTAATAAGAATAAACAGGTCAGTACATATTCAAAAAATATTTATCACAAATAAGAATATACTCCCACTTACTACTATAGCAATTTAAGAAATCAATATTTCTTTTAGTGGTAATATGATATAAAGGTCTTAAAAATATATGAATAAACACTTGTAAGGGTATGATGAAACAATAAAATATATGATTCTATTCATAATTTTTCAACTTCAAACTATTTATTCATTTTTAATTTAAAATTCTAAACTTGTAAGAGTATGATGAAAAGTAAAATGTAAATATAAAAAATATCTAAAGCAAAAGAGGTATATATTCTTACAATAGAGATAACATTTAAATATCGATGAATGTATCTATGGGAAAATGATCGCCTCAATACTAGTAATATGGACCACAGATTGGCCTAGCCACTTACAGAAAAAAACTAATGTTAAAATCATAACTTCTATTTATACATGTAAGAAATCATATGTTCATAATATTGAGTGTTACATCACCCCGTTAAAAGAAAGAAAGAGGAAACTAAGTCCAAAACTAGATTTTTCAAATATATTATATGAATATAATATATGAAACACCTTTTCAATGATGTTCTGTTTACGTTAAATGCTAAGTGGAAATCTTTTTTATGACAGCACAGCATTCCTGATAGGTCCTAAGAGGCAAGTGACAATGATGCTTGATCCTGTTCGTATATATGCAACTTCCATATACATTGCAAGTATGATAATCGCCTTGTTTTGTGCTCTATATGTAAGTCAACATGTAATTGTCTTTTCTTCCTTTTATTTAATCACACAAAAAAAATCCTATCTTTTACTAGCTTATTGTCTCGCTATTTTGCATTAAACAGGTCCATAACAAGTTACTGACATTTCTTGCACTTATTTTGGAGTTTGGGGCACTTGTTTGGTACGTCTCAAATTTTCCCTTGTCTTCCATATAACCTGAAGTGTGCTGTATGCGCAGATTAAGTTACCATACCATAAATCTGATGTGGCATAAAGTAGTATGGCTATTGTAGGGAAAACTATGAAGATAAATTCAATTGTATAATGTATATGCTCCAAAGAGACAGGCTGTATGTCCACCGATAAGCCCCAAAGCAATGGTGCAGCTTTCTAGTTAGGCAGAAGAATGGGAATTGGAAATAAACTAAGCACAGTTCCCATTCGAAACTTCAATTGTGATTAATTCAGTGATGAGTAGTTCTGAGGCAGACATTATGATGTGTAGATGGTGCAGCTTCGTTTTTGCACTAGAACCTGACAAACTGGCTTCAAGCTGGGTCAACTCTGTGAATAGCAACAGTTTTCATAAATCAACTAGCCTTTAGTTGGCTGATGTGGCAATATCTGATGCGACTACGTCTTTACTAAAGCTACACATATTAGCCATCAAAAGTGAGAAACCAAGGAATGAAGCTAACACCCAAATAATAAAAGGAATGAGCTTCTACCACCACTACACCAATGTGCTTTATCATTTTCTGTTTGGTATAAATTACCGTATACTTGAGAGTTATTTTTTAAAATAAGCGAGAATTAAGCATTTAATTTATATCTCTTTTCAGTATTTATTGTCATATAATAGTTTGACTACTCAGATAGATAATTGTGTTGGTAGAAGATTAGAATTAAATCCGTACTTTGAAGTTTGAACTATATAAATCTTGTTATTAATAAAAGCTTATAACTACATTGTAAAACTAAAAGCACTTTCTTTCATTTGAAGTATTAATGATATCAATGTCAATATTTGCATAATTTGATATCTCTTCAAGAATGCAATAATATTATTTATCCTGTTGTGACTGACATGTATCCAGTCCTGTATATCTGACATTCTTCTATGTTCTGATATATGATTGGCAGGTATAGTTTGAGCTACATCCCTTTTGCGAGGTCCATGGTTTCAAAGATCATGGCTTCATGCTTTGACACTGAATTTTAGGCTATAAACTCAAAAGATTGTGGCATTGTCGGTCAAACTCACTTCATTGACACCCTCAATATCCCTTGAAGTCCTACAGAAAAGGGTTTCTGCCGCTGAAATACAGTTATGGATTATGATTTTCCTTATTGTCTGCTCTTTCCTTTGGTGGAGTCTTGTATAGGTTCCACCAGATTGTTAGACTTAAAATCTTGTGCATTTGTATTATGTTGTCAATGAGCTAATGTAAAGATTTTCGTTTCTCTCAGCTCTGTCCTCTCACTCTTTGACAAATAACAGAAAGATCATAATGGGATAATACGTGATGCAGGCAGAAAACATACTGCACTGTATATTCTTTATTGAATGAGCAACCGTGTATATATACAATAGAGGAAGAGAGAGAAAAGTAAAATAACAGAAAAGCACTAGAAGCTTCCATACAGAAGACGTGAGCCCAAAACTAATCCAAAAACTAATCCAAAGACTAATTATGGTTAAGACTCTTCACTCTTCTAAAACTAAATTCTTTGTCTAAGTAATTTTTGAAAATAAGTAAAATTTAAATGGATTTCTGAAAATTTTTAGAGTTTTGTTTAAATTCGTATAATAAAATAAAAAAAAGAAACTGATTTGAATCAAGACTAAAAAAAATTGAAGACTTAAGTGAAATTCTAAATATTTTAGAAATTTATTTGGGTTTCTTTAGTTTCATATATTACTATGATATCAATATATAATTTTATGAAATTACTCGTTTATTCATGAATAAAAACTTATGGTTGCATCTTTACCTTATTCACCGTGAAAATTAACCACCAGTAAAGAGAATGACACGCCGCACCAACTTTGAAATGGTTTCTCATGTTTTTATTTCTGTAAGACAAGTGACTTTTTATTTTGCTTTTGGGTTTAGTTTGTTCAATTCTTCTAAAATTGAAATTATTAATTTTTATCTCTTGTATTATTTAACATTAGTTAACTGTTCATGTGTTAAACAAATAATGTTAAGTGATGCATATTAATGTTGTCATACAATATCAACATATGACACTTAAAAAATACTCCCAAAATTTGTAAAACAGATATTATTTATCCATCTTAAAATAAATAATATTAGAAATTAAAAAAATAAAAATCAAAGAAAAGCATTTTCCGAGGAAAAAAAACCAAATTTACACTTTTTATAAGGAATAAAATAGTTATCTAAAACTTTAAAGGAATTAAAAAAACCCAATTTAAAACTTACTAATTTTACAGAAGTTACAAACATATTTAAGTCAATATTTAAAATCAACACTGCTATTAAAAATATCACACTTCAAAACTAATAGTATGCAGGAGAAGAAAAAAGGAAAATAAGTAGGAAGAGGTGAAAGGAGATAATACAATAAACAATCAGCAAGTTCACATCATCATCATCAGATGTCGTTATTGAACATAACAATGTATTTGTTGTAATTCGAACGAATTTGGTAACATATATATGAAGACAACACAGTGAAGAATGTGGAGAAGCAATGAGCATGTGGTATTAAGCGTTAGCAGCTGTAAAACTGAAAGAAGCACAAGAAATAGAACCAGCATCCCAACTGTCGTGAATAACTTTGGCCTTTGCATTTTCACCAGCAGCTCCCATGGCTACATGCAGTGGCAAGAAGTGATCTGACCTGGGATGAACCGTTTTTGCATATGGGGCTTTCTCTTCGTATTCGTTCACTTCCTCGTACCTACACCAGTAATAGGTTCATTTTTGCTCAATGATAAAACTTAGAATAAAATAGGATAAAACAGAACCAAAACATATCATGTTTTTAATAAAGCATCCTTTGACATATCAAATACTACCCAAGAGTAATGGAATATGCATTTCCAATCCACAATATATATTTAATATCTTAGAAACTACTAAGCGTTTAAGAGTTAGGACCTTACAAGAATGTTGATGTGAATATCAAAGTAAATAAAGTATAGATCCTTCTTCTCACACCTCCATGAGATGGGAGAAAGATACAAATTACTCATGTTATGAATTGTGTACTATGAAATATATTTTTGGATTGTATAATCCATAAGTATTTGTATTTGGAAATGTATATCAGATTATACAATTTAGAAATGTATTATAGATTGTTTAATTCATAATTTGTAGTTATATTTATGAATTATATAATCTGAAATACACTTTTTAAATTAAATTGTGTAGTTTGAAATATATTTTTAAATTTAAAATATTTTGTGTTGTATAATCCATAATTAATAATTTGTAATTATATTTATAAATTGTGTAACTTGGAATGCATTTCTAGATTAAGAAAATGTACTATGAAGTATAATTCATAATAGGGTTAAATATGTTTTTAGTCCCAAAACTATTGACCGTTTCTGATTTTCGTCATTCTTTCAAAGTAAGGTACAATTTGGTCCTCATTCTTTTAAAAAACGTTCGTTTTAGTCCTCGAAAACTAACACCGTTTAAAAATTTGGTCCTCATTTAGCAACAAAACGAGGACTAAAACCAAAGTTCCGAGGACTAAAATGAACGTTTCGAAAAGAATAAGGACCAAATTGTAAGTTGCTTTGAAAGAGGGACGAAAACCAGAAACGGCCAATAGTTTAGGGGCTAAAAACATATTTAACCCTTCATAATATATTATTGGATCTGAAAATATATTATAAATTACACAATCCAAAAATATATTTTATATCGCACAACTAAAAGTTCCAAAAACCACTTATAAATTTCACAATTCAAAAATTAAAAGTTATAATTGCAAATTGCTTGATATGGAATTCTTCCACTCCCCTGCCTTTATGAATTGTACAATTGAGAAACTTGCTCATTATAACTAAGGACCATAGGATCCAAAAATCCTACAATTGATTTTCAGATTGTATGATCTTAACTTCTCTAAACATGAAATTATTATTTCATATTGTTCATTTCGAAAGAATTGTAGAGTATATAATTCAGAAATACCTCAAAAATAAGTGTTACATTTACAATTGCTCAATTCCTTTGGGAAAAAAAACTTATAACTAAAAGAGTCAATTAACTTCAACATGTGCAAAACCTTTGCCTTCAACAATACTTTATATGAATGCAATGTGTAAAGCAAAACCTCACAAGTAAGAACACCAATGCATATTGAATGAATAATAAAACATAAAGGGGGCATAACAGGTATTTTGAAAGAATAAGGGTGAAGGAAGAGATTATGGAAAACGATTACCTTCCCTCAAGAAGAGATGTTTTGAGCCATGTCATAAAAGCCTGAGCCCATGGAGCAGGTGGGCTATTACGAGGGCCCATTGCTTTGAGGTTATGGGTGGCACTTCCAGAGCCAATGATAAGAACACCTTGATCTTTGAGAGGGGCCAAAGCCTTTCCCATGTTATAGTGGTAAGAGGGTCCTTTGTTGGATGAAAGTGAGAGTTGACACACTGGTATGTCTGCTTCAGGATACATCAACGACAGTGGCACCCATGCACCATGGTCAAGCCCACGGTTCATGTCTTCATTCACATGCTCAAACCCTGATCCTATCAGAAGCTCCTTCACCCTCCTCGCCAACTCTGGTGCCCCTGGTGCTGGATACTTCAACTATACCAATACATACAAAGTTCCAGATAAAACTAGAGAAATAGTGAGAGAAGATCAAAATTAAAAAAAAAAAAATTGATATGCTAACAATTATTTATAACAACTTTTTATAACAACTGTGATTACTTTATTGGTTTTTTAAAATTAAACAACTTGTTAAAAGTTTGAGTAATGAAGAGATCACATTCAGAGAAAATTAAGCAAAAAGAAAGATTGAGAGAATAATTTAACCTGATGATAATGATAACAGTAAACAAACCTTGTACATGGATTCGGGGAAGCCATAGAAGTCGTAGATGGTGTCGTTTCGGTCAACGACGTTGACGGTGGGAACACGAGTGTCCCAGTGGGCGGAGACGACAAGAATGGCGGAGGGTGGCGTCGGAAACCGCTCTTTCCAGGAACTGAAGAACTTCCTCGCCGGAATCGAATCATCTACGGCCAGAGCTGGTGATCCATGCGAAACGTAGAATGTTTCGTTCAATCTCAACCCCATATTATCACTCTTCTTCTTTTTCTTCTCTTCAATCAAACTTTTTTCTTCTTTCCTTGCACTGGTATTTGAACTGTAACGAGATTTTTCTTCTTTTTCTTCTATTTAAAGAGAGGCAAAGAGGGAATGAAGAAAGAAAAAAGAAGGAATATTATGATAATTATTTGATTATTCCACATTATATATATTTTTTATTGTTATATTCGTTTTTTACTATCTAACGTGTTGTTTGTTTATATACTTTTCGAGTCTATGTTTTTGAATTTTGACCAACATTTGTTATAATTGTTTATTATTATCTAACGTGTAGTATTGTTTGTTTATCATATTCTCCGATTCTATGTTTATGGCATTTGATTTGACAAGCCAACATTTTGAGATGAAATCAACTCAAATGCGTCATTGTCGTGCAATGATTTTAATAAACGAAAATATTGATAATTTTTGTGTTAACAAGTTCTGTAATTAATACTATTTTTCAAGACAATTTTAGTATTGCCAAGTAGTATTTAAGAAAGTAGATAGGGTTAACGTAACCCTGAGTCGTCTCCCAAAGAACACAAAATTGATTACAAATATCTAACTCTTATGAATGTTATGCAATGCTTATGAATAAAAGTAATAGTTGAAGAATGTTTAAAGAATAAATAAGAAACTTAAAAAGAGTTATGATGAAATAGGCTAATTCTACTATTTTTCCAAGATAGATTCATCATCGGTTATTCACAGATAATTGTTCAATTGATTATTATTTAAGTTTCAAATTAATTAAAGTACATTCTTAATTAATTTGAGGACGATCATGCACTTAACCAAAGTAAATTCTCAATCAAATGCAAAACCTTACTAGATTATTCACAATAAATTCAACCAAAGTACATTCTCAATCAAATTCTATTGTGTTTAATCATGTCTATTTTTAAATCTCCTAACCAAATTAAAAGCTAATCAATCAAAGTAAATTCTCAATTGATTATAGTTGAAATTATTACTAATCAACCAAAGTACATTCTAAATTGATAGTAAAAACCATTTAATCATATGAAAGTTCCTAAATTAAATCAAAGTAAATTCTCAATTAAACCTAGAACTCATATAATCAATATGCATGTAGTTTCAAACACATTATGATGCAAAAATCTTTACTTTTAACAAGATAGAGAGATGAAAG